CAGCCTTATCTCCCACAGCCTTTCTGAACTCCACAGAAATTTTTGTTGTCTTGTTGACGTGTGAATGCAAGAAAAGGAAGAACATGCATACACAGGTTGGTGCATGGTACCTTGACTACCTTCACTCTTCCATGTTTTTCTTTATATATATATATATATATATATATATATATATATATATATATATATATATAAGACATGAAAAGAAGAAGAAGAATGAACTCTGATAAATTTGCCTAAAAGATGATAATGTACCTTACCATCACCATTTATAGAATTACAAGTCCGCCGGTTAGTTTGTTTAGTAATTACAAAATTTTAAATTTGACTATCTGTAAAAACTGTTTAATAATTTTGTGATGATTTTTTCTTGCTTGGAGAAAAGAAGGGGTGAGGTTGAGGTGTAGGAAAATGGTTTTTTTTTTTTTTTTTTTATTTTTTATTTTTTTTAGTCCCTCAAGAAAAGAAAAAAGAAACTTCCCTCGTGATAGTGCCTTCGGTGCACCATCTGGATGCGTTAATAAACAATTTTTTTTTTTTTATTTATTTACAGTCCTTTTTTTTTTTTTTTTTTCCTCTATCTTTCCCCTCTCCCTCCTATGTGACAAAAAATCGTAACAAAAAACTTATGTGGTTAAATGAACTGTATCAATCCACACTCTTTTGTTTCTCGCAGCTGAAATGTCAATTCAAACCTCCCTCCCCAGCCACTACTTTTTTTTTTTTTTTTTTTTTTTTTTCTTTTGTATGAATAAAAAATGCCCTATAAATAAGGAGTAAAAAACAAAATAGAAATTAAAAATACATGCATATAATATCAAGCTAATCAAGGATTTTCATCACACGGGGACCGGCTTCGCGAGACCATTTCGGTCTACTCTGGGCTATTATTCAAAATTTTAACTCTAAAAAGTTAAAATATATAACAAAGAAATGAAGAATAATAGGATAGGGTTATTCATTATTGTGTTTGGTGAACTCTACTTTAGCATGGGGGCGGATTGGGAGGGAGGGGGGGGGGGGGGGGGTGTTGAGCCGTGAGCCTAGAGGAGTTATTTTTTTGGCATAAACGAAGAGGTGGTTCAGGTCTTTCTCTGTCCGTTTAAGGGTGGCCTAGAGGAGTTATTGAATGTGACGTAGACAATAGAAATTATACATTTTTTCCAAAAAGTTTGAATCTCCAACTTCAAGAACTCCTCACGTCCGAGGCCGATGAAGCATCTAAGAGGATATAAATCCTAGTAACTCAATTGAACACAGATGTTAAATCTTTGTTTACTGTGAAAATAGAAATTATACATGCATGCATGAATGACACACTTTAATGATATTCACAAACACCATCGCCTGCCTTGTCATACAAATTTTAGTAAGATATACTAATTAACTCGATCTAATTAAATGCCAATTTATTTGGTAACCATGAGTTTATAATATGAACCCAAAAATTAATAACATGATAGGTAAATTGCAGTAGTAAAATTTTATATATACAACCGATTTGACAGGAACAGAATTTAATTACTGCAAGTTTTTATTGTCACTCAAAAAACAATTTAATGTATTAACCATAATAAAATTCCTACCACTTTTCGAGTCCCACCAATGATAATTGGAAAAGTTGAAAATTTCAAATTAGGAAGAAAATAGAAATAAAATAGAGTAATTTTTTTTGAATGCTACTGGCTCTATTACATTGTACTATCTGTTCATATACTTTCTCAACCTACAATTTTCTTTTTATTTGATTGACAGGAAAGTCCACAAATGCTATTTAAAGATGTCGTTTCCCACAAAGGTTAAATCCCCATTCCCCAATCCGAAGGCCCTCAGATTCTGGCCCGACAGAGCATATGGGAGGATGTAAATCATGGTAACTCAACATATAGACTAACATTTGTTTATTGCGCACAAGGAGCTCCGAGTCATTGTTCCCAAACTTCACAATGTGACTAATTGAGCTGCCCATGCGAACAGCTATTCAAAAATGTACTTTGAATAGACTTTGTCTAATAAACCTGTAATATTGTGATTACGAACTCAACTATTGCTACCCAAGTTTTCCTTCTTCCTCTATAAAAGGGGAATGAAATCTATTCCGGCCTACACCATCTACATACCGAAACCCTTCTCCTCGTCACAACTCTGATCTCTCCTTCTTCCCCTTTGCTTATATTACCAACCAAAAAACAATGGCTATTCCCGTCGTTAAATTGGCGGAGAGGAAGTTCAACGACATTCTTTCCAAAACTCACTGCGGAGACGACAAACCCGTTGAGGACCTGGTAACTGAGCTAACCTGGATGCTGTGTTTCCTGGTCGACGGCGAGAAAACGGTGCAAGGCCGGGTGAGAACCGACATATGGTCCTCCGCCATCGAGCGCCTCGCCCGGTGCGCTCAAGATCTAGACTACGTTGACGCCGGCGGCCACCACCGTCATCACAAGGACATCATCAAGCTCAACGACCGTTTCGCCAGCCTCCGGGCAAAAATCCAACCTTTCCTCACTTGTCAAGCTGCCTCATATGATTCTGCAAACACCACAGGTTCATAATACGTTCTCGGGACGCCACGGGTCCAACGACGGGGCGCCGTTCTCGTTTGTGGTGCAGGACGGCAAGATTGTTGGATTCCACGGCCGTGCCGGCGACTATGTTGATGCTATTGGTGTTTATGTCACATCTATATAAGTGCATCGTCTCTCCTGCAATAATGTTGTCTAGCTTTGTCCATTGGAAATCCTTATTAGAGTTGTTTGTTGGGTTTTCCAAATGGTTTGAATAACTGTTGTGTTGTTGACCTTGCTTGTTTCAAGGGCAGATGTTGAATAATAAATTATGTGGTTTATATTATACATACAAAAATAAAAATAAAAAATCAAACTGTCTGAACGGAGCGACTAAGTGTGTGGAGAATGAGGTGAAATCACGTGTTTAATTCTTTACAAAATTACAAATTCAAATAGTTGTTTTACACGATAGATGGACATTCCCCTTAAAGGGGAAAAAAAAAAAAATTAGGAACCATTTTCTACAATGAATGAATAGGTAATGAATCTGCATGTTATTATAATGAACTTAAGTCGTCCATGATACAATATGGAATGTTTTCCTATCACAATTTTTTTTTTTTACAATTACATACAATCAATTAACTATACTGACTACTTCCCAAATGAGTCGTCATAAATTCGAACTACGATGGTGGGAATGGGGACTTAGATTCTTTGTGTTGAAAATATTTGAAAAAGCATATTACACTATTAAAGATTAATGTGACTCATTGGAGAAGAGTACGTTACCCGCAGTCACTACTCAAGGACTTGTACTGATAAATCACGCCTTGTCACCATAATCAGTAAATGATCACAAAAACATAAACCAACATAGTCAATAACTAATCTGGTATCAGTTGAATACAAAATTTATAAGATGAGAAGTTGAATGAAGCTCACATATATAACGGCATCAAGGGGATCAGAGCCCATAAACAACCATTGACATAAAATCAAACAATCAAGGAAAAAGTGTCAAATTAGCCCCCTAAGTTAGGTGGATAGTGCAATTGGGTCCCCTAAGTGAAAAAAGCTTCATTCAGGTCTCCTAAACCTGTAAAATTGTTCAATTAAGTCCAAATTGACTTGTTTATCAGGTTAAATGCATACAGTGTTGACACGTGTCATTCTTTTATTTTTTTTATTAAAAATATTATTTATATTATTTATTATAAATTAATTAAAATAATAATAATAATTAAAAAGAATTAAAAAAAAAAAAACAACGTGGCCGTCCGACCACGCCTGTCCTTGAAGAAGGAATACAACCACTGGTTGTCCGGCCGGTGGCTGTTTTTTTTTTTTTTTTTTTTTTTAAAATTTAAATTTTTTAATTATTATTATTATTATTATTATTATTATTATTATTTTAATTAATTTAAAATAAATAATATTTTCAATAAAATAAAAATAAAATAATGACACGTGTCAACACCGTATGCATTTAACCTGATAAACAAGTCAATTTGAACTTAATTGAACAATTTTACCGATTTAGGGGACCTGAATAGAGCTTTTTTCACTTAGGGGACCCAATTGCACTATCCACCCGACTTAGGGGGCCAATTTGACACTTTTTCCAACAATCAATGAAGAACAAGCTACCTAGCCAGCCCATATATGAAACTAACACTGCTAGCTTGTTTATTGAAATCTTTGGGCTCAAGATGCATGCTCCATTAACTATCAACTCTCGATCTCTCATCCATGGAAAAACTTCATATATGCCTCTGAAAGCCCACAACTATCTATAGAAACCGTTAAATTTTCATTTAAGGACTGCCATGCATGGCTTTCATCAACATGGATGTGTCTAGGGTTTCAGACTATTGTGAATGTGAATGGGTCGGCTTGGTGATAAGTAGGTGGACTTTAACTATTTAACCGAATCCCTCCATGGTAAGCTACAACATCATGTCTCAAATTGAGCAGGGACTAAACTCGATTTATCCTGCTGACGACCAACAAATTCTTGCGACAAAAGGTGGATTCGCCCACCCATGCCCGACAGGATTCTGGAGGAGTAAATCATCGTGACTCAACTAATCAACAAAGACTAGACCCCACAATGCCATGTCTCGAATTGAGCAGGGGCTAAACTCGGTCTACCCAGTCGACGACCAACAAATTCTTGCGACAAAAGGTGGACTCGCCCACCAATGCTCGACAGGATTGTGGAGGAGTAAATCATGGTGACTCAACTAATCAACAGAGACTAGACTTTTGTTCATTGCGCATGAAGAGTCCCCTCATTTTGAGATGTTGCTCCTACTGCCGCGGGTAAAACTCAATCGACCATTGATTTCTTGTGACAAATTTCACCTCTGTGACTGATTGAGATGCCCATGCGGGCCCAATTACAAATCTTATTACACTGTTTGAATGCATCCATATTTTTACCGTGTGCATGAAATTTTTAAATAAGCAAAGGACAATTGTCATAGGTTATCTGCATCTTTGATCGAAATACTCTATTACTTTCAATGTGGGAATGACAGACTGGTCAATGTGGGATATTTGTAAGGAATTACCGTCACCCAGACGTAGTTCATCCGATCCACTGTACTCGGTGAAAGTCTGCAGAGGAGCGAGGCTTGGTGTCACATGGTGTGACGCCCCACTATCAAACATCCAGGGAGGAGACGCCCCAGTCACAGCATTGGCTGTAGGAGACATATACGGTTGCATAGGGACAACATTATGCTCTTTAAGAAATCTGGCTAGCTTGCGACATACCTTGGTTTCGTGTCCTGTAAGATGACAAAACTTACAAATAATACTGGAGCGATTATTACCCCCTTGTTGCCAATTTTGTCGGTGGACGCCATTATTATAGGCATTATTGCGGGCCCTCCGGTTGGAAGCTGACTGCTGGTTAGACCATGGGGGTGGCGAAGCACGGTGAGTCATATTGGCAGTAACCAGTACCGATTGCCGCGTCTCATCCGTTGTCTTCAGCTGACGTTCATGGTCAGTCAACACGTCCGCCAATTCACCAAAGGAAATTGGCTTTTCACGAACACGGACGGCAGATATAATAGAGTTGTACTCCTCCCCTAACTGAGTTAATATATAAATAATTAGATTTTCATCCGAAACTGGACACTGAGCCAGCGCAAGATCATCAGCTAAGGCTCGCATGTCATTGAGGTAAGACGTAATGGACCGAGACCCTCTCGGATTTTTCGTGAGCTTGGCCTTGAGGGATATGATACGTCCTCGAGAGGCACTGACGTAACTAGCAATCAGACGTTGCCACGCATCGTGGGCTGTCGTAGCCGAGGAGATGAGGGGCTGTATGGTGTCAGTACAACTACCGAGAAGTGCACTGACAATGATTTGGTCTTGACGATACCAAATTAGATGGGCCGGGTTAACGACTGTTTGAGCAGTATCAGTGAATTTGGCGGGTTCCGTGGTGGTACCATCGATGTAACCCAGAAGATTAAACCCAATAAGTGTGGAGTGGACTTAACGTCTCCACACTGGAAAATTTGTGGTATTGAGTTTAATGGGAAAGTTTGTAGGGGCATTTAGTTGGATTATATCGTTTGTGGCTGTAGTAGCGGAAGCTATGTGGGTAAGGGAAAAAAAACTTCGTAGGAGATTCAAGGCTCTTGATACCATGTAAAGATTATAAACTGTACTTTTATTGATGTAAAATAATGAGCTATAAATAGTGTACAAGAGAGGGAGAATAGTAGGAGGTTGTAACAACTTGTTCAACACACCTATTCTACAGGAACATAACTACCACAAATATAAAGAGATAAAATGTCAGCCACACATATCCTTAACAGATCACATAGCATATTATCAAAATTATATTGATCCAAAAATTTTGAGCCCAAGTTTAATTTGATTCTCCAGAAGCGGTCTATTGATATAGCTATTTGCTGATTGATTACTTCAAATTGCTAATGCTGCCCAGAATTGAATTGTTCATAGATATTTGTCCAACTAATTATTTTTTTCACGTGAAAAAAATGACATTACATTGTTAAGGACCACTATACTATTCCAGCAAGGGATAAGGTTTTATCCTTCCACGCCATGACTCTAGCTTCAAAATTAAATCAACCAAGTTCTTAAATGAAATATTATTCTCATTTGAATTATATTGCTTAGTACATTCAACGCCCTTATATATATGTAGCTACAAATATACTAATAATAAGTCTTTCGTTTTATAAGTTTAACTTTCATCAGAAGTAGTTTATTAATCTTACTGATTTGAGCAGGTCAATTATAGACAATCAGAATTGGTTAAAATCCTTGTCGTCTTTTTTGCTCGCTAAGGCCAAAAGCTAAAGTTTATACGGTTCCTATCAATTTGATGTAGTCAAATTTGTTTTGGCCCCTCCCTTCCCCTCAGCCAATACTAATTCAAGATCAAGTTGATAGGAAAAGGACAAAGTAAAGGCAGAAGGAATATGGATATGTGAAAAACGTGTATCCTTTACAAGAGTTAATGTTTGTAATTTCATATATGGACAAACTTACCTATACTTATTACCTTCATTACGTTTTCTATAAAAGGGACCTCCAAGCCCGCATGAGTAGCTCAACTGGTCATAGAGGTGAAACTTTGAAATAATGATCAGGGATCAAGTCTCACCAGCGGCAGTGTGGGAGCAACCTCTCAAAGTGAGGGGGGCTCCTTGTGCGCAGTGAGCACCGGTCTAGCCTCTATGGTTCATGTTCAGTTGAGTCACCATGATTTACATCCTCCCAAATGCTCTGGCGGGTTGGGGTGTGGGGGACCGTTGGGGTTTAGCCTTTTATTTTGAAATAATAAAAGGGACCTCCAAGTCTACCTAGTCTCCTCACCAAATCAAAATTGCTCATTTTCAATCTACCTTTTGCTTTCCTTCTCAATTATCATCCAAGATCGAAATCAATCGCCGCAATTCCTATGGATACTATAGCTGGACCATTTGGATACAGCGGTGGGGATTTTTGGAGTTTCCGACCTGTAAACAAGATAAACCAGATACTCATTCACTATGCCTCTGGTAACAACCCTATTGCCCTAACTTTTTCTAGCACTAAAGATGATGGTTCAAAGGATACAATCACAGTAGGAGGAACAGGACCAGATCGCATCGTTAACACTGATACGGTTATACATTTAATTTTATACATCTTAATTTAATTTTTCATTTGTGATTTACATGCTAGAAGTTGCTTCTCTTATTAATTAGCTTATTACTAACTATGAATGTATTTAAATTAGAGCTAATTATTTTTTGCTTCATTCATGAGATGTATAACAGGTGAATATTGATAACGCGGATGAATACTTGGTTCATATAAGTGGAACGTTTGGAATTTACCTGGATAACAATGTCTTACGTTCAATAAAGTTCACTACCAATTTGAAAGACTACGGGCCTTTTGGCCCCAATGTTGGAGAGCCATTCAGTCCTGTGCGTGTCGTTCCCAATAAGATTGTTGGATTCCTTGGTCGCTCTGAATTCTATATTGATGCTATTGGTACTTATAATTCTAATAAGTGATTATATTATCGATCTATCGTCACTCTCAAGCTTAAGTAATGCTCCATTGTTAGAAAAAAGTGTTTGTATTCTGTAATACATTTGAGATACAACAAAAATATAGAATACAACAGGGAACAAAAACTGGATCATTTGATATCTTCAGGCATGTAATCGCTTTCCTATAAGCTTTAAATCTCTCTCTATAAAAGCAACAAGGTTCAAGATTTAATCTTATGGGATACAAGAAGATGAATGAAATTCTTAAGTTGCTTTGTTTAAGAATTTCCTGTAGAATTGTAGAACTGTGAATAACCAAGATTAATGCAAGTTTATTGCATGTTTCTTTCAGATGTTTCTCCAAACTATTTATAAATGAAAATATGACTGTTGGAGAAGTTACATGGAAGTTTTCTGCAGTTTTAAAAACTTATCTTCCATAAAATATATCTTAAATAATATATTTATCATAAGAGAATATTAATTACATAAATCATGTTCAACATAAATATATATGTAATTATGAACCTTTGTAAGGTTGTGAACCGCATGCAAATAACTGTGCAAATATATATATATATATATATATATATATATATATATATATATATATATATATATATATATATATATATATATATATATATATATTATAATTTTCTAGCACACTTTTGCATGTAAGTTTGGGAAATTGGAAGCTTACGTGCTGTATAATCATTTTCCAAATGAAATACACGATTTCCATATATTTGGGAATAATCCCCCAATGTTGGGGAATAGACAAACCCTTCCAGCAAACTCATTCTCCATATTAACTTTCTACCAAACTAAAATAATATTTATAACTCCACAACTCCAAATATTATTTAAGCTTTCATGGTAGTCAATCTAAAATATTAATCTTCATTACTATATAAATTTCCAACATCTATTGGAATATGTCTATATATGTGTGTTGTTTGTTGAATAAGTTCCAAATGCTTTGAATAATGTTGTATTAAGCTTTGCTTGTTTTATCTTTGTCAAATGCATGTGCTCTCATGTATGATCATATTATTAATAAATAAAGTTGTTTTTATACTTTTCTCTTTACTAATATATGTGTCTTAAATCAACATTTTTATTGTAAAAAATGACTGAAAATTAAAAACAAAATGTAAAATCACACTTATGAAACCAAGACAAACTAAATTTGCACACCCAATAATGTAAAACTAAAGTTATGCTATACACTTACTCAAGGATTCCACAGAACAAATTCCATACCATAGGACCATACTAACATCCTTAACAATAGTTCTAACTACACGTAAGGGCAGAACTAAAAATTCAATTTAACCCAATTGTGTTAGTCAGACAATTGAATTGGTACGAAAGATTTGGAATTTAACTCCCAAGAGCGGTTTATTAACTTTACTTATTTAATTTGAATCGGTCAGTTATGGACAATCAAATAAAGAAATAAAAATTCAGATTGCCCATTTAATTAATAAATTGTTTAACGAACATTTACATTTATACTATTTGTCTCCATTCAGCCTCGATTGCACAACATGCTTTCAATGATATTCAAACCTATTCTAATACCAATTGTCTGGATCATACGTTTATCAATATAATAAACCAAAAGTTATATCTAATATCGAAAACACAACTTTATTTTCCTACACTTACGCAGGTTATGTTTGGCAAATCTAGCTTAAAAGTAGCTGAAAGCTGAAAAATTATAAGCTAGAAGCTGAAAATTGAAGAGTTGTTAAGCTAGCAAATTATGCTTAAAGATGTTTTGTAAAATTAACTTTTTGATAAGCTGATAAATGTAAAAAGACTAAAAAGGATATCCTCATAAAATTTAAATAGGTTTGTTTACATATAAAATTTAACATTTTAAAATGAAACTATTAGCATAATCATGATCTAGCATCAGATAATACTCCAAATGGCCTCTCAATACAACTTCAAAGAGAAGAATGTGCACGATTGAATGCTTCTTGAGCATTAGTTGGTGGCTCTTGTTCAAATTGAGATTGATGATACCTTATTCTTGGATACGGTACCAAATATCATTGTCTATCTGGATATCCTTTATCCGCCAAATAATATCTTCCTAAAAAAATATAACATTAGACTTTTATAAGGAATACAATTATATGATTCTTATTTGAGTTGAAGTATTAGGAATATGATACCTTGTGGCGGCTTGAGAAAGTTCATTGATGTTGTATTAATTAAATGAAGAAATACACGTGTATCATGTGAGGAAGAGAAAATGCCAAAAATGTTTTAATTAGAAGGGGTAAAAGATGTCACTTATTTAAAATAATAAGGATAAAGATGGAAAAATCGTTAGGAAGCTACTAGCTTATTTTTGAAACGCTACCTAAGGTATATAGCGCTTCAAAATAAGCTCTTATTTTAAGCTGCTAGTTTATTCCGTGAACATTACCAAATAGAGCTTATAGCTAATTAGTAACTTAAAATAAACTATAAGCTCCTAAATAAGCTTTGTCAAATAGAACCGCAATAGTCGGTGTCACGTTTCAATGACAAGATGTTAAACTCAATTCTCCGACCATTATTAGAACTATATAAGGAGGCATGGTGCCGATTGACACCATGCATAGCCTTTCTCATACACACCCACATTATTAGATTTAATTAATTATTTATATATATTTATTTTGATTATATTTCCTAATTACAACCCAAGAAAGACAATACATGCATTTACTAAAAGAGTTAATTATAACAGAGGTCCCTTGTCTTTGGTGGTAATTCTATATTTTGTCTCAGGCTATCGTTTTTGCCATTTAACATCCTAGACTATTATTTTTGGACACTTTTAGTCATTCTCATAATTTTTCCTATTTTTGGAAAGAAGGAATGATTTTTCCTATTTTTAGTAAGGACATTTTTGTCTCTTCATATATATATATATATATATATATATATATATATATATATATATATATATATATATATATATATATATATATATATATATATATATAGGGAGCCATTCACATGAAAACCCCCTTATAATACAAACATACGGACTAATTTGAACCATAGGATTATATTAGATTAATGGCCAAGATTGGATTGTAATTGTACATGTGCTGGATCGTAATAATTAAGCAAAAGGGCATTAAAGAGAATTGTGTAGAATGCTAATTAAGGTATGATTGTAACTGTAATGTTATCTACCTAATTTAAAGGATACTAATTGCACTATAATTCAACCAAATCAACTCATTCGAACCACACCACCCCCCCTCCCCCCCACGCCATTGCCGACCTCGCCAGACAGCTACGACAACCGGAGCATGGAGTATACGCCGCCATGGTTACCAGGTAATGATCTCACCTTCATTGTAATACTATAAACGTAATACCTAGTGCATTACACACGATTAATAGAGACCAGACACCCCTGAATATAATTGTTGGTAGAATTGGTAGACATTGAATTGGATATCATGTACGCGGTTACACCCATTGGAAAACCCCCAATCCTGTAAGGAAACCCAATGAGTCCAAGGATACGTTTACCGTATGACAGGACGCACACATTCCAACGTGGAATGCACACGAACCTTAATACCACAAGGTCTGGAATGAGTCATAATAGGTCGCCCATTGCATGCACCACTGAATACAGGCCAAACAGTAGAGATGCACATGGTTTCAGAGAGACCGTAACAGGAACACCCCCCCCCCCTAGCGTATGAATATGAACGACTCTAGCTGTGCACCAATTGGGAGAAATTAAACATGATTTTTAACACCAAGACCACCAAATGGGGGAACTATGCACGCACCTATGTAGGCCGCTGCACAGGCGCGAGAAACAACCCCCAACCCTATCCTAATTGTAGAACACAACTGGAATTATATTATTAACCCAAGACACTAATGTAGTTTATTGGAATGATCACCAGGTGAAGACCACTGCGCAAACAAAGTGCAACAATGTGCAATGGAAATTGGCGCAGATGGTGCTAAATTTTGGACACCGGCAACCGATAATGAAAAAACACCATACGAAGGACAACAATTCGAAACAGTAGAGGCTGGGATTGATTTCTACATTAAATACGCGAAGGAGGTCGGATTTGATGTAAGGCACGGCACAAAGCGACAAAACCGAGCAGGACAAGTGGCAATTAAGTACATCATGTGCTCACGGGAAGGATACAAAGCCGAAACGAAAGAAACCCCCAATAACCCAAACCAACGAAAGAGGCGTAGAAGAGTGTCAAACAGGGTAGGGTGTAAGGCACGTATGGGGATGTCAAAGTGTAAAAGTGGAGGATACAAAGTCCATACAATCGAGCTGCGACATACACACTGTTTATGCTCGGAAGAGGGGAGAACATTTTTAAAAATAAATAGGCAACTCGACATCGGACACAAGACGTTTTTGGCAAACTGTGCAAAGGCAAACATCGGCCCCACCAAAGCGTTCAGACTGTTCAAAGAGATGGTAGGGAGTTTTACAGAAGTTGGGGCAACATGCATCGACTTCTGCAATTTCAGAAGGGACCTATTGGCTTACATAGCAGAGGCGGACGCCCAAATGGTGATTGAAGAAATGTTCAAACGGAAAGAGGACAACCCACACTTCTATTTTGATTTTGACATAGATGAAGAAGCACAACTTACTAGGTTATTTTGGGCAGACGCCGAATCACGTAGAAATTTTGCCTGCTTTGGAGATGTCATGTCATTCGACGCTACATACAGCACAAACAGGTAATTCTCTAATCTATTTACACCTAATCAGGTGTTTACCATTAAAGTATGTATAGCCGACATACGACACAGAAGTCGCATCCAATTTAATTGAAAGCAATATAAACTGTGTGCATTTAAAGAGTAACCGGTGTGCGTGGCAGCTTAATAAACAGTCAGGAAAAAAATATGCCGAACGCACGTCGACTAAAGACACTATACAAGCAGAAAATAACGCATAAATTATTGATATTGCAGGTACAAGTTGGTGTTCGTTCCTTTCACAGGGGTGGACAACCATA